ATGTGCATGCTGTTATGCTTCCTTTGATGAATACTGCAGTCTGATGTTTAACAAATAACTTATATGAAATTAGTAATTGTTTCTTTTCGATTGATGCATACAAGGAAATAAGCTATGAAATAATCCATAATAAATATAAAATCATGTATATACGGCATGCAGCGCTCCATGCATGAACGAATTCTATTGTAGCATACATCAGAGCAAGCACGAATGATGCATCATTCAAGAAATCGAACATCGTGTGATTCCATAACACTAAAATTATTTATCAGTATTTATAAAAAGTTAATTTGCACAAACGTGACTACTCATATATGAGTTTCATGCAATTAAGTAGAGTGTGAAGAATATGATTCAAGACTTTCGATTTTTCAAAATGTAGAGTATTAAGTATGCATATGAATCAACAAAAAATGAGTTTTTACTGATTTATATGCGCATATAAGTAGTAAAAGGAAATTTAAAAAATCTTATTCTTATTATAGAATTTCTTATTATTATTCTGAAATTTTAAAAAATCGAAATTTTTTATAGATTTAAATGCATATTTTATGTTGTTCTGCACAAACATGTAATACGCTAGTTTTTTTTAAGAGTTTTTCATAAACGGATTTGCTTTCAGCTCCGATAGAATTAATTATTGTTTAAAGCAATAACGTAATACTAATTAAATTAGCTTACGGTCTGTCTTACGCAGGTATGACGCTGTACTTTGATTTTATATTTAAAATTATATTATAAGGAAAATAAGAAAGAAAAAAATATAAATCAAACAAATTTAAAAAATTACAAACATGTAAAACAATGTAATATTATTCATAGCCTCTTATTCACATACAAACTATGCAATTTGTAAAAGAAAATCATAAGAATTAATTTTATTTTCGCATTTGTAAAATTCATCTTTAGCTGATTTTGTGTAGAAATAAGAAAAAATATATAAATTATGAATTTTTACTTCTTTAATCATCTATAAACTAGATTTTTATCAGTATTAATCTTCATTGTGTATATGTTTTTTTAGTACCCATTAAAAGTATACGGGTGTCGTTTATGTCCGGCGTATTTTTTTTTTTATAGATTAAGTGGCTCAAAAAAATATATAAAAATTCATATAGCTTCCTTAACTATTCTAAATAAAAGATTTATACAAATAGATTAACAAATCTATTTATTTAAATATTTTATTTTTGCAGATATGTAAACACAAATGTGAATGTGATAGTAGCCGGTACGTTAAAAAAATTTTAACTTTTGATCAAATCAATGAAATTTAATAATTAAAAAAAGAAAATAAAGATCAAAGCTCATATATTAGATCTGTTTTTTATTGCTGTACTTTCTGAACTGGTATACACAATGCAATAAGTTGAAATAAAACAAATATACGTTTATTTCATTTCAACTTATTGCACCGGTTCAGAGTGTTCAAAAAACAGATCTATTAATAAAAACAACAAATTTTTTTGTTTAAATGCTCAAGTTCGGGTTACAATCTTGTCAATAAAAATTACAATTGTTAATGTTAATTACAATTTAAAATATAATAATATTAAGTCGTTAGATATAAATTGAAACAATGTCAGTGATTAAGATGTCAAATTAAGCATCAATGAGACTGTTGATGCTCCGGGAGATGTGCATCAGATAGCCAAATATACTAAAGGCGCGAATAAAGGACATAAAAGAGTTAATATTACGTTAAATAAAAATAAAACAGTAAAACGTTTCTTTATCTTGGTATACGATTATTTATTAATGCAAATTTGTTGTGCAGTCACTTCCAAATGAATTTAAAATACGTATAAAAATTTCTATTTATTTTAATTCATTCTCGCGCAATTACTAATAGCAAATGATGTGGTTAATCATTAAATTGTTAATATACTTTTAAAAGGATTTGTGGGCACTGATTATATAGTGCTTCCATTATCCCATTTATACTTTTCTGTAATTTTGAATACTAAAAGTTTTTACTTTTTTAGATTTATATGTTAGTATTTTTATTCATTATTTCCTATTGAAATTTATATAAAAATTTTAAGCAATGTAATCATCATATAGTGACATTATTTTGATAAATTATAAATTCATCTTATTCATTACGTTTATTTATTAGAGAGAGCATCAACTAATTCACAACAAATATTACACGCAGTATATATTACACTTACCCACATAATCTTTAATGTTTGTGTTTGCGTGAATTAGTGTGCGATTACATCTACGCAACTCACGGACAGATAACCGCTTAACTGTAATTTATATATATATATATATATAATTAACTATTTTTT